ATCCGAATGGAAACAATCCGCCACCCATTGTAAACTCTTCAAATACATATTTCTGTGCATGAGGCGCGAGTATAGTGGATGGGAGTGATGGGATAACATTTATATAATACTTATTAAGTGTCGACAGGGGTGGATTTAGGTATGTGGTGACCCCTGGGCGGAATGCATTGTGCGGGCCCCTTATACATAAACAAAGAAATATATTTTTTTACTTATAAAATAACATTTATTATCATATTTAGTAGTAATAACATTAACTACTTATTTAATAATAAATAATTATAAAAACAATCAAATTGAGTATAACTAGTATGAGTAATATCATTAGATTATTAAATGTAAATAATTAAATAAAGGATAATAATAAATAATAATATCAAGTATTTACAATCAGCACTGGCCGGTCTGGCCGTAATATTGTACCTGTATAATAGTCAGTAAGATAATGGACATAATATATGTATTCATAAATCATGTGTTAATAGTAATGTTATTGGACAAAGATTAAATATATGTGTTATTTCTGTCTTAGCGTCTTACATACAAATATGTACATATAAACTATGATAAAACCGTTTTTATAGAGCCAAACTTAGTTTGGATATCTAATTTGAATTTTAGGTAAACATATGGTATTTTTACAGAAGTTATATAGGTAACAATAGTTTTTGGTATCGATCGAGTTAATACGTAATTATTATAAGTTATAACAGTAGGTATAATTAGAGAGCGCCAGCCACTCATCCTGCTGGCTCATCCCTATACCGGTTTATGGAAATCTGATGGATTTAAATCGAAAGAGATACAATATTATATTTCAAAAAAGAATTACCTTAAATTATAAAACGGGTACAGTACAGAAGTCGAATTTTTCGTTAAAATATGTTTACATAATCAACAATAATGATCTTTGGAAAGATAAACAGCTAAACGGGTCCGAAAGCCGATTAGTACAATAAACATATTGGTTGCTGGCTAGTAATAAACAATTCTGTATTGTCGCTATAGAGATTTTCAATCCTCTCGTATTCGAACTGCAATATTCTAATTCATTAACGATTCTGAGTCCAAACAAAAAATTTTGTCACACGTTCAGCCAAACTTGAAAAATGCTACATTTTTTTCTCATTGTAAAATGTGTATTAATTTTGAATTTTTTCAAAAAAATATTTGTTAAAAAAAATTAATAAAACTAAAAATTGTTCACGAAAAAAGTTTTATTTACTATCGTATTGTATCGATTATATAAATCATTACAAAATGTACAACTCGGTGTCATAATATAGTTAAAATATCATACACTAAAGTCTATAACGTAATGAATGGTTCGAAAATCGAAACAAAACAATTATGGCATTTCATTATATAGATCACGGCTCAGATAAAACTATCTAGTCTAAACTTTGAATAAAACATAAAATGTGTAGAACATGAAAAAATACCTGAATTGAAGGAATAAAAATATCTATCGTAATATTATGAAGGCTTTTGAAGTACCTTAATTCGTTTTAAAACTTCAATATATGACATATTAAATAAACAATTAATTTCCTTAAAGTAATACAATTGTATGAGATGGGCTTATAATAATATTATCATTGTTGTTACGTGTTAGTTGTTATACATGCTTGCATATTTGTAAACATGTACCTATACTATGGTTTTCTGTTGACAAAAAAAATAAGAATAAACAATAATTATAACTTGTATTAAAATACATAATATAAACATGTATAATATTGTTCTATTATATTATTCAAAATATTTTTTTTTAAATAAGAAGTTTATACCTATTACATTTTTTGATTACTTTGATTTATTTTAACTTTATGAAAATATCTATTTATAATAAGTATAATAAAGATTTGTGTTTATAATAGTAAATATAGTTTATATACATTTATAAAAAATTTTATGAATTATAGAGTTTATACTGAAAAATATAGATTGATTATTATTATAAATTATATATATAGGTACAACTGAATTGATATGTTACAGTCTTACAGATTATTTTATCCTTATATAAATCATGAGCCACCAACTACCCAAACTACCCACCATCCACTCACTGAAAAAATTCAGAGACCATGGCCTCAAAACTTCTTCACCGCGGTACTGTGGTCTGTGACTAACTAATGAATATTTAATGGTGACCGGGTAAGAAAGTAATAATATGAATTTGAGAACTATCATGTGTTTATATCACATCATTAAACTAAGTCTCATTCTATAAAGGTGTATAAATATTCATTATCTATGAAAATGTTTAAAGTCCATTCCGTGACGATCATTCAGTTTTTTTTTCAATACATTGTCATGTTCTCGAAATACAAGTGCTTAAACGCATTGACATCTGTCCCTACTAGACGGATATAATAATAATAATTAACTGATTAAATGTATGTCGCGCGATCGGCGGCGGCGGCGGGTTTAGGCGGTCCTAAGCTGTGATAACTGATAACATATATGTCGCGCACATACGCGACCGAACGGCGGGATGTGCACCCGGTATAGTCGGGATGAGCAAACCGGTATAGGGATGAGCCAGCAAGATGAGTGGCTGGCGCTCTCTAATTATACCTACTTACAACGTTATGCACTACAGGAAGAAAGAAGGATAAGATCATGAGGAGCACAAAATGAATCAATTTTTTGCATTTTGACCTTTTTTTACAGCGAATAACGATTATAGCTAAAAAATTTAAATAAAATGGAACATGGCATGTACATGATATGACCCTAAATTGCCTACTCAGAGCGCCGTCCTAGATGAATATGAGATGTTCCAACTTACAACTATTATAAATTACCACTACCTACTACTTAATTTAATCATACCCTAAACGCCTAGCTGTAATAAATTATTTTTCTTTTGGAACTAATTTTATAATAAATTTTTGAGTTGTCAATACAGTTAAAAATTTAACATACTCATAACAGTGACCAACTTGATATTTACTATACAATAGAGCGGTGCCCGCTTATTTATATATTTTTTCACGATTTCAAGGAAATATACCTAAGAAAATCTATATAAATGTAATATTTTTGTTTTATAGTCTTCCAGGAAAAAAAAATTAAAAGTGGATACAAGGATACACAATGAACTAAATTTGGAATACAAAGGTATAAATGAAGATAATTAAGATAAATCATTAAAAAGTAAAAATATGTTTTAAATTATATGTACAAAGTATTTGTTTAAAAAATGTTTTTCATCACAGCTAATGAAAGTGCAAAGATAATTAATAAGGCTAAGATTTGTACATTATATTGAATGGTAAAATATGTATTTAGTTTTATTAAATAGGTATTCAATAAAAGTATAATAGGGTATTAGAGTATACAGTAATGGTTTATCAATATTTTTCAAACTATTAAAATGAGAAACATCTTATAATTAAAAAAAAAAATTATTTTTATGTAAAATAAATTATTTCTATTACTTTTACTTTTGATTTTTTAATAAATCTACAGTATTTTTAACACCAACATTTTACATATTTCGCGTCAATGATAAAATTACTGGTTTTATGAAATAAAAATTGGGATTTAGGTTTGTAATATGGTATATCAATATATCATATAGTATTTTACAATACTTCCATAGATATATTTCATGAAGTATGAATTTTTTGTGTTTGTATTTAAAATATACAACCATGTTCATTATATCTATCCTACTTAAAATAATGTATTTTATATAATGATTTTAAGCGGAGACGATCAGTCTGACTATATCTCTATCTTACTATAAGTATATCTTATAAAAAATGTTTAAATCGCTATTAAAGTAATTTATTTTACTTTTAATATCACAATAGGTTGATCAATTTTTTCCGAAAATATTGCATTCATTGTAATATATCAGTTTTATAACTCAAAGTTTAATAACATCTGTCTGTAAATACCGTAAAACAATAAAAATAGATTCATAGGTAATATAAATAAATAATAATATCTTAAAATAAACCAAAAATGTCATTACGCATATTAAGATTCATAATAATATAATAAACGTAAAAGTTTTAAGGTCTCACGAATTTTGTTTTTAAATTATTACAAAATAATTAACATAATTATATTTATCGTTTAAAAAAAGAATTTTATCCAAATTTGAACTTTAAATGTCAATAAAAATAATTGCCTTTATATTTTTATTACCTATATTTTATGGTTTCAGTATGAACTTCTTACGATGAACTTAGTAATACATTTTCAAAATTTAGATATAAAAAATAAAGTTTTTATCTACAAAATAGTTTGCAATTTCTTGCAATTTTTACGAATTTTACTAAGAATTCTAATTTTAAATGGTTATAAAAAAATTTTTCACTATTTATTTTAATATTTTTAAATAGATATAACAACAACTTGTATTAAATTGTCTGTTAAAATTTTGTTTAAAGTTGGGTTTGCATAAAAATTCTCATTTTTCTTTAATTTGTTTTTTTTTTGTTTTTCTCTACACTTTCCTCAAAATAATACCAACTATATCCTATTTATTACCTGAAACCACCCCCATGATAGAAAACTGATACATTTTTACCCCTCCAAAAAGTGTTAACATTAACGAATAGACACACCACACATTTAAACTAAAAAAAAACTCATTATTGTAAAATGAATACATTCATCGCTCTACTCATAATCTAAAAAAATACTATGGTTGAGAAAAATAGTAAAAAATAATCGAATTGATTGAATGAGTGAATGACGAACTTCCTGATTTGGTGATGACGATATTAATTATGAATACGGTCATTATTTTTCCGTTCGCACACGAAATGTTATCGCTTATCGCCAGAATATTTTATCCGTCGCTTATTCGTATTCATAACACCTAGTAAGTTTTTTCCTTATAAACGTAGATCATAGATTGCTGAGTACTGACCATTGTTTGTGATTTATATTTACATTATTAGTATAACTTTATTAGTTCATAATATTATTATTTATTATTTATTCTGTTTATGAATTTTGTAGTAGGTCTGACCACAGAATAAGCTAATGGTCTAACTATGATTAAGTACTAATCAGTACTTAGTATAAGGAAAACATTTACGCCGCTGAGTTCAAGGCCACCTGGTTCGACCAAATTATAGTGTCATAATATCGTATGAAAATAGGTAACCGCGTTATCAAAAAATAACAATAAAATGTTCTATTAATTCTTATCTTTGTATGATGATTTTAAATCGTTGAAACAAAAGTAGTCCGTTGTTACTTGTTAGTTGCTGGTGTTGCTACTTGCTCATCAATTCTCAATTAATCAAGTGTCAAACCTCAGATCGTCCTACAGAAACTTCCATGGCCATCAAACACTTGTCCACAGGTAAGTGTGGTGCAACATCATTGATTGATGAACTGAACTAAGCATTTTACTTTTACATACTTTTTCCAGATTCCGTCGAACCTCCAAAGGTGCCGGGCTCGTTGCGCTTCTATTCTATGCGATTCTGTCCATATGCACAGAGGATCCAGCTGGTATTAAATGCCAAGGGCATGCCGTGAGTAATCCATGATTTGATACCCAATCCACCAGTTTGTTATGATAACTTTTTGTATTTTATTTGTATAGGCACGACACGGTGTTCATTGATCTGACAAATAAGCCCAAATGGTATTTGACAATCTTCCCGGCTGGCAAGGTTCCGGCTTTGATTTATGATGACAAGTTTCTTTCTGAAAGTCTTTTACTGGCAGACTTTCTTGACGAACAGTTCCCCGAACCGCCTTTGTGGAACGGCAGTCCTCTTCAGAAAATATTGGATAAACTCGTCATAGAGTCTTTTGCAAAAGTAAGTTTTTATGGTTTAAAACTGCTTTTTAACCAATAATACTTGAAATTGTAATATAAATATATATATATTATATAAAACCCATAAAATGAATCATTGTTTGATTTACTTTTCTTAAAATATAATGATTTATTATTTTATTCTGTACACTATACACTGTTATACTATAATAAAGATAAAGTAATTACTTCATTGAGTTAACAAATTTTATTAATTGTAAGTATTATTTAATTTTTAGGTGGGAACAGCATTTTATAAATTAATGATGACTACAGAAAAAATAGAAGAAACACACTTTGATGAACTCGTTGCTAGTTTAGTCCCCATTGAAGCTGAATTAGCTAAAAGAGGATCAATATTCTTTGGAGGTAAGTAAATAAATACAAAACATTCTGTTAATTTTTGTAAGTTTCTGAAATCTATTAGAAAGCAAGTTAATTATTGGTAGGTACCAGTTCAGTATGTTATTTATACATTATTAATTGATTCAATATGCTACCTACTCAAATATTTAGATAATATATTTAAACTTAACTAAATTGTATAAAATATCTGTATTCTTGTATCTTAATTTATTTTGTCAAGTATAAAGTAATTATTGCTTCGCTTGTGTTGCTTTCCAAAATTTTGAATATTATAATTAAACAGTTTAATATAGGCTTATTTTTAATTAATATTTAAATATAATAATACCTAAAGTAAATGCCAGTTTATGTCTTATCTAGTTAGTGCCCAACTAAAATAAAATATCCGTTGGTATTGTCTCTGTCTTGTAAGTGTATAACATAAAATATTAAGTTCAACATTTCTTATTAGTTTTAAATTTTTATTATAGTTATTAGGGTATATTAGAATGAAATCACCTATTATTTAACTTGAAGATTAAAACATTATAAGAGGTATATTTGAATTATTTTAATTTTAAAAAAAGGGTGTAAAATAGTACAATTTAAAAAGCTCATAAAACTCGCTTAAAAAAAAAAAATATCGAAAAATGTTGTTACTTATAACTTATCAGTAATTAAATTCATTTTAACAAACTATATGAGAACGGCTTAGTATAAACTGTCTATTATGTACTTGTTAGACTAAAACTATATGTGTGGAAAAATATTCTCTCAATTAAATAAAATTTTGAAATATTTGGGAGGTATATTTAAAAATATTAATTAATTTATTATTTTTATTTTGATAACCAGGTGACAAGCCAAATATGGTTGATTATATGATATGGCCTTGGTTTGAGCGTTTAGATTCCATTAATCCTTATTCTCAGGGAAAGTTTGTTATCCCTTTTGATGACAAATTTCCCAAACTGGTGAGATTTGAGATAATAATAAAATTATATTTATAAATTTAAAGTTTTGTATGGTTTTATATTTACAGGCAAAGTGGAAAACCTTAATGATTGTTGACAAGGTTGTTGCATCATACTATCTAACACCAGAAAAACACGCGGATCATTTTAAGAAAAGAAAAGCTGGATTACCTGCTTATGACATTTAAAGCAATCCTTGTTGTGTACTTGAGGTTGAATATTGTATTTTTCAAATTCATCACTGTTTTTAATATTTTTATTTTTATTTATTATTATTTTATCATAGGTAATCAATTATACAAAGATAGATTAATACGTAATTGTATGTTAAAATGGAGTTTGTATAATTTTATTATTTTTTTTACAATACAATTTATGTTTAAAATGAAGCTTATTATATTATATTTAAGCTGTTAAATTTGATTTTTTTATTTATTTTGGTTAAATTACCTTTTAGACATTTAGTTAATTAAAGTGTTAATTTATATTTTTATAACTATGATGTGATTTTAATTTAGATACACTGTTTCAAAAAGAATTTAAAATAAGTATACATTTCCACTAATTAGTGTTAAAAATTAATAGTAAAATTATTATATTTACAGTTTACACGTTTAGCAGTTAATATAACAATTAACAATGTCTCATATCCAACACCATTCAATAAGTATTTATTTAATTGGACAACCAAATGATAACAATAATATTACGATCAGAGAACTTTATCTTGGTAAACTTAATACCATATATTATATGAAAATAGTATGATAATAGTCCGTACTAGTAACTCGAAAAAAACCTTTTGTAGTTTCTAAAAACTTTCTTTTACTAATATTCTTATAAAAAGAATAAGAAATTACACCTGACTTGTTTAATTTTCATTTTAAGACACATGTATATTTTTACATTATGTAATATTGAGTAATAGAATATAGTAGTAAATAAAATCTTACATTTATTTGATGACATAATCAGAGTTAAAAATTAACTGAAATTTCTGTGGGAGACCATATAAATATGATTGAAGAAAGTAGTGATACCAGGAAGATAAAGTGATTGGTATTAACAATAAATGAAGAGTAGTACAAGAAAGTGAACTTATTGAAGCTTCTATTCAACTTCAGGCGACTAAAACACAAATGAAGATAATTTAAGAGGATGCCTATGCACTTTGTTTTCTCTCAGATCCTTGCGCAGTGTGCCAAATTTTTCATTCAACAGAACAGCCCTAAATCTAGCGTTTGTTATTTACTTCAATGTAAATTGTCAAATAATTCTTATATTTATACTCTAGATTTACAATATAAATTTTTCAGTGATATAATACAAACATTTTTAATTGTAGTTTATAATATTTTACACACTGATAATTATTGCATTAAAATTTAAATACCTATCATACCAAAACAATTAATACATAAAATATAAATGTAAAAAATGTTAATCTGTCTTTTAGGTTTAATAATATTTTAAAATTAACAACATAATATAGATTCTATATAGGTTAGATACTTAACATAAATTTGTTTTGTTGAATGTGGGTCAGAAAAAAATAAAATTGTATGCTGAAATCTCTCTTAAGGTAAATCAATTTTAATGATGAAATATTGAAATTACAAACAGAATAAATATTATTGTACATTATAAATATAAATTCTAATGAACGCCGTCCGAGGTGGCATAGTGTAAACAAATACATAATACCATTAATTCCATCAGTGAATTACTTCTATTTGTCATTTGATGTATTGATGACTAATTAATCATTAATTGTTCTTTAGTTAATCCACAAGGTCAGTGAAGTTTGAAGAATACTGAATAGTAGAATAGATTGTTATTATCATTTATCACTACTCTTATCGAATATAATTTACAGTTCGCACAATTCAATATTTGGTTAAATGGTCCTCCAAAAGTCCAAACCTTAGCCTATTATATTTATTTGACCTTAAACGTATTAAAAATTAATATTCATTACGTAATTGAAGAATCAATTAATAAATATATTTATAAAAGAGACCAATTGACATAAGAATAAAAAATAATATTCTAAATATTTGAATATTTTCAGCATATTTAATTATTCCGTGTTTGTGGTTAGGAAAATTTGAAAAGTGATAACTGATAAGTTGACCCAACATAACATATTATTATCCTTCAAAATTTATTCAGAGGTTTGAATGTCTAATTTTAAAAACACTAAAGTGGTCCATGGATTTTCGTATTTATTTTACAAATTGCATATTACATTTGAACAAGTTTTAAACAAAAAGTCGAAATTATTTTAAATTTATAGTTGTTAATCTCTTTAGTAGTACTCCTCTACAATTTAGGTAAATATTAAATAATCAACTAGATATTACAGCTCATTTTTTTTCTGATAAATTCTGATTAACTTTAAATTAATTTTTTTTTAACAGATCATCTATTGCGAGTTGTAAAAATCATATGCCAACATGGGCGGAACATCTAGCACCACTCGAACATTAGAAATTGAGAATCCAAATGTGATTACTTTGTCAGACAAGGTTGTCGAGAGACTCCGAGGTCAAGAGCAGATAGCACCAGTTGACCAGGGTTCACACATTTTGCCGACATATGTGCAACCATCATCTCTTCAAATACAGAAGGTTGTTCAGCAAGAGTTAGAAGCCAATGACAAGAGGTGGGAACAGCGTTTTCACCTAGTTGACAACAGTCAAAAAGCCCTTACCCGCAATATTGAAACAGAATACAAAAAAACATATGAAAACGTCAAGAAATTATTACCTATAATTAAAGACGGAGTACTGAGTGAAGCTACAATAGAAAAAGAAAATGTTTTATTGGATTGTCTAGCCAATAACAAGGGAACCCCGTTAAATTGCACAGACGCTGTCAAAGATTATCAAAAGGTGTTATTTCAATCTACAAATCAAAAACTTTGAACATAAGTAGTTCAATAGAAACTTTTATATAGGTATTCAACTGTTTCAATGATAATATGAAAAATTATGCTTAAATATGTATTTTAATTATAAATGATTTACCTTAATATTGTGGTAAGTAGTTCTGTTTAAATGAATAAAAGGCTACTTTGTTATGTTGTTGAATTTTTGTTTATTGATATGATGAACTTATTTTAATCAATTGGACACTAAGAATAAAACACAGTATTGTAGTTTTTTTCTTAAATAGAAAATACCTTAAAATAGTGTTAAAATTGCTCCTTTTTTTCTTCTTTTGCTATTAGTAATTTTTTTGTTAATGACTTGCTCACTACATATTATAAATGATTTAAATATCATTAGAGTGTAGCAATATTTAAGCATCAATGTTAAATAATTATCATTAGAAATTTGATCATATTTATAACACTAAGGTAATTCATATAGTATTGATCAATTTTTTAAGCAACCCAGCTATAATATTCTAGTTATTATGAAATTGTTTATTTGACCTATTAACACTTGTCAAAATGAAGGTTTTCAAACATGAGTTATTTTATTTTGTACTAAATGTCAATGGTGGATTCAATAGAAGAAGTGTTTGTAATTTGCAAAAACAGTAAGCAACTTTAAATTGGACATAGGTATTCATTCTTTTTTATACTGATGAGTTGATAATAAATATGTTAAGATAAATTATTTATTTATCAATGCTATAATAATTAATTTCTCAACATTACTGAAATTAAAAATGTAATATTTTTTTTAGATTGAAATAAATTCTAATGCTTTGTATGGATTTTAATAATTTATTAAATCAATAGTTATAACTTATAGTTTTTATGACGTATACAATTGGTATTAGTAATGTAAATTTAATGATAAATACATATTTAGAAAAAGATTGTCATAAAAAATGATTCAATTGATATATTTTATTAAAATATGATACCAATAAATACATAAAATATCACATCTTATTTAAATTTTAAACAAAATTACTCTAAGTATATATTTTGTGCATTATTTTACTTAATTGAGATTATTTTGCATAACTTAATTTTATTACTACTTTATTATTATTGCTCAAAATCATTTACAGTTAACCTTATTAGTATATTAATAAATAATATTATAATTAAATCTAATATATAATGTGCATTAAATTGTTTACATAACCCTGTATATGATTGTTTTGCTATTTCTGGTAATTAAATGTAAGAAATACAAAATAATGCATAGTATTAAAACATAAAGGTACACGTAGAGACAAGAAAATCTTGATGGAAGCCACAAAATAGTGTATGTAACAGAGTGTCTGAATGTATCTGAAAAAAACAATACTAATTAAACAACTAAAGTTATGTTTAATTAGATATTCAAAAACATGAAAGATAAAATTATGTGCAAATTATTTTATACATAACACCGTCAATATTATATAAGACATATTTACAAGGTTGAATGCTTTATTTTTTTTTAAATTCACAAAATATAACTTAAATCTTACTACCATGAAGAATACATATTAAATAAACTAAAATGATTTTAGACGCCAAATGAACTAAATTAATGTAAAAACAACTATTTAATGATGTCTTACCAATTGTTAATACACCATATCCTACATTATTTGATCCCATTCTATATGAACAGGTTGGCACAATTATTTCACTGACTGAATTTGGTGATTGTTGTCCAAACCTCCATTGAGCACTGGACATTTCGTCAAAACTGTTACGTTCAAGCATTTGAACATATGTATGTTTTCTTTTTTTAATGTCACTAATAAAATTGTAAGAAGAATGATCATGAGCTGAGAATACAAATTCACTCTTGAACTCATTTATAACCTGAAATAATGTTTGAATGTTTTCAGAATTATCATTAAAACTAAATTAAAAGTATATATATATATATATGATTGCATGTACTTTATCTGCGAATTTTGTCCATTTTGTAGTTAAAGGAATATGTGAAAACATAATTTTTATAGTATTTGTTCGATTTGTAGGATTAATGTTTGTTGGCATTGAATCTATTAGTTGATTTACCTACATTCAAATTTGATATTAATAATAACAATAAAAAAATACAAAAATACAAATACTTCTAAAAGCATATTTTTAAAATATTTTTAAGAATTGTATTGTACCATAATAAATTCTATTTTTTCATTTTGAATTACTCCTGGCGAACCAAAGTAAAGATGAAATCTATCAACTTTTTCTCGAATTACAATTTCTTCATCTCCGCCAATATCATTATCACCAGGGATAAAAATTACCTAACAAGTAATTAATATTAATAAATAATTATTAAATACAATTTAAATTTATAAAAATTAAGTGGTTTAAATAAAATAACTACTTACATTATTAGATGCAAGAGGAACTATGCTTTTTAAAAAAAATATTTTACTAAATCTATGTAAATATCTTTCAAAAGTTTTTTGATCAGCTAATGATCCTTCATCCATTAGATCACCCATAAATATAACATTATCAGGTTTTACGTGCTGTAATGCTCGACCATATGTATTGAATAAATATCGATCACTATCCCAGCGTGTTAATACATTTTCTCTTTCCTCCCCTAATATTTGTGGATCAGCAACTAGTAAGATGGTTTTGCAGAACTTCTCATTACCACAATATAATGTTGGCCATTTACTTGCATACAATGAATAAACTAACCATTCATTGTAAATTATAGTAGAAGCGAGAAGCAATACTAAATAATAATACATATATTCACTGAAAACACAAAATAGAAAAAAATATTGATTAATTTAAGTGAAACAAAAGATTTGCTTAATTGTTATATAGTGATTTTTGAGTATATATTATAAATATATAACTATTTATTCTAGTCACTTTTATAATAATTTATTTAAGTTAATAGAATTTATGAAAAAACTTTTTCACTTTCTGCTTTCTACCTGTTTAGTAAGACTTTTCAAAATTTTAGGTTTTTAATCAATTGATAGATCTTATTTCATATTATATATTTGTTTGGTTAATAATACATATATAGTATCACACATTTGTGTATAGAATTTTTCTACTAGATACATGGTATTCAATAATTATTATACTTTTTAATTAAATAAAAAAATATTTGCATAAATTAAACTAAATCATTACTATGTGATAACTTATACTCTTTAATTTTAAATTGCTATAGTATAAATGTTGTATACATTCAATTGTATAAAAACCAACATACTTTAATTTATGTTTGATCAATTCAAAAACAGTCTTCAGTCTTGTTAAATAAAACAAATGGAACATTTTTATAATATTAATTTCATTGAAAAAAAAAAAAATAATAATAAACATAAGTAGCTTTAGATGCACTGTTACAGATGAAATTTAAAGGGCAGTCATCACTACAGTCGACAAGAACGAAATTGAAAAAAAATTTGGACACATTAAACAAAACCAGTAATCAATTATGGTTGTCTACAAGTTTTATATTTTTATATTTCAAAAAGACAAAACAATGAAATTTAGTAGGTAGCTATTAGGTAAACGTAACAGTCGACAGCTTGTAAGTATTTAGTGCAATAATTTAATATAAAATTATAATTAATAGTTTTAGTTATTATTATATAACTAACACATTATAAAATATAAATAAATTATAACAAAAATATAATATTATTAATTTTGCTTATCACTTATTATCAACCGTTAATAGAGATATCACATATCAAAATATTTCTAGAGATATCAAGTTGGCGCGTGGAAGATATAAATATTTACCATTATACCGTAACCGCGAAGTGATCCTTATTCGGTTACCGGATAGCGTCACAACGTGATCAGTTATGGTTCAACCAATCGGCGGGCTCCACACCTGCGAAAGCCGGAGACATTTCGTGCCAGTAAGGTGGCTACACCGGGTTGTTAAAGGCAAAAGAAAACCGATAATGAATAAATATGATGGGGGTCGCCCGGCGAATGACTATTAGCGTTTAGTAGTCCGTTTCTTCGATTCTTCTCTGTAGTCTGTAATATTACAACAATTTAAATTTTTTTAGGTAGTTTAACGCTCTTATTCGATCATGATTTCTGAATATTGATTCGTTGACGTGTAACGGTGTAAAAATTAAATTTTTCTCAAGCTTTTAGTTAACTTGCTGCCCGACTGACTATCGCAGCAAGTATGCAGCAGTATATACGGTATACCAGGAATCTTTTCCTGAGAGGTGTCTCTGTCATCTACTTGCAGGCGTTCATCGCACTTTACGTCCAAAATTCAGGTGAGTACGGGATAAGGTTCAACGGTCGGCTGGTAACCTTTTTTTTCTGTATTTATCTAATCGAATCTTAGCATGCATGCTCGTTTCGTTTTCACTGGCCTCTTGTGTTTCAACCATTTGTTTAAATCGAGGACGGTGTCATATTAGAGAATTTATTACCTTTTTAATGATAATTTTATCCTTTTCGTTCTTACACCACGACCTCTGGACTTTGCTAGCCCTCCGCCTCACAATTTTTTATTAATACGAACCAAAACTGTTTCATTTTTCTATTACTGTCATTCAATGTCACCGTGTTAATAAATGTTTTTGTGATGACATTGGATTGATACATTTTAAACTAAATATTAACTCATTTCTAGATTTTATGTAACAACAGATTTATTTTGTTGTTTACACTATCTGCCTATCTGTGTCAAATCAAAATCAATAATAATAGGTACATATTATAAGTATACTCAATGACATCAAATAATATTTGTATAATAAGTATAATAAATGGATATTAATTTAAATTAAATATAATCATATTGTGTACTTAAGGCTTTAAATATTTTAAATAATTTATTTGTATGCATAATATTTAATAGATTTTATTATTATTTTTATACTCCCATTTATTGTTACATGTAAAAACTAATATTTTTAAAATATTAAAGCTAAATCAAATGCATCACTGTATAAATGTTTCATTTGGTTATAGTTAAAATGATAAATTAATTTATTCTTTGGTAAAAGTAAAGCAAGATAGTATTATATTTTAATCAATTATTTATACCTTCCTATCTATACTCATACATTATTTATTATTTATCAAAGAATAAATTTAATTAGATTTATATCAGTTTTTACTTTATAAATTGAGATATGTATGATTATATTATATGTTATATATTTCCCATACCTACTTATTAATAACTTAAATATAATAGTTGTATCAGCATGTTAAAATTAATTTTATCTGTATGATACTTGGCTTGAAAGTTAAATTTAAAAGTACTTATTTTAAATTGCCAGTTGAATGCTAAATTCTTATTTAATATTCTTAATAATTTTTAATACTTTGTTAGTTAATAGTTATTAATGGTAACAAACAAATTAAGTGGCTTGGCATAGTACTTTGGCTACTACCAGTCACGGAATGCAACTGGGAGTAAGTAACAGCCACAGCTACTAGCTCAGAGATAGGTGACCACCTGGGTTTATAGTGGTTAAAAATCTTGCCACACATGTTTATTTTCAACCGTACCAACCTTACCCCTACAACAGCTAATGGCCCTAGTCGCCGAGCTTAAGTTCAATAAAAAAAAAAAAACTATTAATATATATTATAATCTATTCATTTTTAATATTTTTTATTACATTTTTTAGGTCTATTTGGAGAAAATGGTGTATTACCAGCAAAAAATACATTGATTAATGAGAGTCCAAAAGTATTTGATAAATTCAATTTTAAACCTACATTATTATGGTTTTCATCTGAAATTGGTTTGAATGCTGAGTATATGTTTGATGTAATATGCTTGTTAGGAATTTTTTTTGCATTCCTTGGGTAAGTTATCTTGGATTAATTCTTATATCTCATATAATTTATTAAAATATAAATAAACTGTGTGTGTAAATAGTTATGCAACTTTATGTACATATTATGAATGAACAATTTTTACTGTGAGCTTTCAGTAAACAATTTTATCATTGTTAAAAAAACGTATTTGTATACTTTAATTTTTCAAGGGGATTTTACACTACTGATTTTGAAATATACCTATGCACGTTACAATCTATTAATTGAGTTTTATTTCAATAATAATTTTGAAAATTTATTTGAAGTGTCATGAAACATCTAAAATCAAAATCATCACATGGTAAAATGTAAATCATAAAAATCTTGTATTTTTAAAAATTTTAACAGAGAGAAATATAGCTAAAAACTTATTTTTTTATTGAATTGAAGAATTTAAAACAGATTACATAATGCGTTTGAATGTTTTCAAAATTTATTTTAGAGGTAGACTAAAATTATTGTATTGAAACACATATAAGTTGATTGTATACCAAAGCAATAATTCAGGTTCTTTTTAAATTCTGAACAGTAAAATTAAACCTCTATCTAAGGACTTACAATGCATATTGAAGAATGGATAAAATAATTTAATGAGTGTATTTATCTGTAGTATATATATGTATTAAATATGTTTTGTGATATTTCAAGGTATTTTTTATTAATAATATCAACTTAAGTAGTATACAGGTTATAACATATTTTAAGAGTATAACCCATAGATTTTTAAACTAGATACAAAACCAAGAATATAACAATAGCACGGAAATAATCTTTTTCTAGTCTACTCATTATGATTTTTATCTGAAGAAAATCTATGAATAAAAAATTGTATATTATTTCAAGGATATGAATATTTTCTCATTAGTTTCTAACTTTAAAGGTTTTAATGATAAAATAATTGAAAGTCTGTAATTGAAGCCTTAGGGTTGTATTATAATGTTAGATACAATTGATCCTCTAAGAATTTCCAATTAGGGAGTTAAAACGGAATAAACTGAATCTCAATTATAATTGTAGAAGGTACAGTTGTAGTTCTAATATCCAACTAATTGTTATACCTATAGTTTTATCATTATTTGTTTTTATTTAATACTATTATGGGTTTAAAAATAGTTTTTAACTTAGTTAGTTTTCTTTAATAATCATAAAAGAAGTTAGTTTGTGTACATTTTTTAATAGTTAAAAAGTTGTATTAATTACTGTAATTGTTATGTAAAGTTATTATTAATTTGTTTTTCAAGGTTTTTGACACAAAAAGTTTGCAACAAATTTTTATTTTTCTCTCTTTGGATTTCATATTTATCATTGTACAATGTTGGTCAAATATTTTTGTCAGACTTGGCGTAAGTATTTGAGATTAATTAACACAATTTTGCTGTCATAAAAATTTAACTAATCAAATGTTTTTAATTTAGTGATGAACTTCTATTAGAAGTAGGATTATTATGTATATTGATTGCGCCATTGCCTTTTCAAAAATTAAGAGTCCCTTCAAAGAAACGCAATTTACGTTTACAAACCTCACTTGCATCATTACCACATGATTCAATTCCTTTTTGGCTTGTGAGATGGTTGCTATTTAGAGTAGCATTCTCTGCTGGTGTTGCTAAAATGAGTTCAAAGTCATCATCTATCTGGTATGATTTAACTGGTATGTAACATCAAATATTTTTAATAATACAGGTTGATCTGTTTAATTATAACATGGTATTTTAGATATTTTTCATTGATTTTTGTGATTATATACTCTACTTACTTAAAGATTGTGGTTGCATACAAATCAAAACACTTAGTTGCATCAAACTATTTCTCTACTTCTTTTTTGCAGTTGTATGCACAAATAACCACATTTTCTTGGTGAATAGAGTTAAGTTTTAAGTATTTAAAGACTAAAGTCTGTCAAAATGATTTGAGATTTGATATTTTTCACTAACACATAGTTTTATGAATATTAAAAATTAAAATCAAATGTAATATTTTTATTTTATTTCAGCTTTATCAAAATATTTTGAAAGTATGCCTTTACCAAATGCAATTTCCTGGTATGCTCATTATTTTCCATTTTGGTTTTTGAAAACTATTACAGTATTTGCAGAAATTAATGATTTATTGGTTCCATTGATGTTCTTAGTACCCATTCGTTCAATTAAAAAATTGGCCTTTTATATCCAGGTATTATATAAATTTAATAGTATGTACTATTTATATTGTTAAATTATCAAACTATTGTATTTATGAAAATAAATTAAATTTTTAAAGTAATATTCAAATAACTTTCATATTTTATTAATATTTTTAGGTATTCATGCAAGTTGGCATTTTGGCATCGGGAAATTATAGCTATTTTAATCTTTTATATATTGTTTTGAGTTTATCATTGTTAGATGACCATACATTTTATAGAGGTATACACAGTTACTTAACTATTGCTTGTTTGTCATTCCATAATTAAAATCAAAATTTTTCAATTTTTTTAGAATTAGCTCTTGCTAGAACTCGCCAATGGTGTTCTACTGTATTCACAAGAATTATGACGATCAATGTTATTAGCATACTAATAGCTGTTTTCCCTATGTGGTATAATTTCCGCATTACTCCAGCAAATACACCAGATTTCACAATAGGTAAACTTTTAATAATATTGTTTAAAAATACATTTTTTAATTATATAATTGATTTTTTTTCAGCATTTACACAGCAACAATTCAATTCGGTGTTAAGCAAAAGTTTGCCATTTATTGCTTATTTTGCATTAGGTTCATTCGTTTTTGAATGTTTAAA